AGGTCATCTAAGATAATTGCGTTTTAGGCAAGCTGAATTTACTTTTTGTGAAGTTTTTTGACTGCATTTTTGGTAAAAGCTTCTCAGATCATGATTTCATGTGATATGGACCCAAAAACAATCGGTGCACACATCAGTATACACATGGGTGGAGAACCTGCCCCGGCCACCCCGGCCGTGGCCGGGGTAACTTTCAGCCTACCCCGGCGCGGCCGGGGTAACTTTTCCACTCTTGTAAATCCTAAGAGCTGTCGCCATACGAGAAAAGAAAACTGTCGTTTTTCGGATGTTGACTGCCATGGGCGTAATACTGCAAATCAGGAAGGTATTTACACTATTTAGGTACTCAACTTACCATGCGGTGGCGTTGAGCCCTAGGACCCGCGTGTGGTTGCCAATGCCAAGATTGGTCTCAAATCGTGTTCAGTTTCGAAAATTTGGCGCGCCTTCGGCGCACTTTTTTAGAACCACTGCTTGACCTCACTGCCTTCGATTGGCCTGCCACAAACCGCAACCATACCGTCAGGGCGTGGCCGTCAGGATGCTCATACACCGAGCGTCCGTCACGCTTCGAGCTCGGACTGTTGTAACCGGAACGCGTGCTCTCGCCACGCGGAGTCCAACGCTCAAGCGATTGAGCTACGAGACCGGGACCGGTCGATATCCCTGGATAGACTCCCTATTTGTCTTATAAGAGGTTGAGCCACCCAACATTGAAAAAGACTGTGTCCCTGGATTTCAGTGACCCATTTTAGTGCTTTGGTTTGAACGTTCAATTTTCTCTGTAAAGCTCCTACGAGGTGAGCTGTCATCTTTTTGTAGCTATTTTGAGACAATAAAAAGCTGAAAACGCAACATTTACTCATAATGACTCATGATAGGTATGGTTTGGATATGTTGTGAAATTGCATAAGTTTAAGTAAAAAAATCACTTAAAAGAAAATCGCCTTTTCAATAATCGCCAACAATGTTATGAATGATACAATGTCGGATACAACGCTCACCCTTGAACAAACGCAACGTCCATTATTCCATTTCCATGGGCCAGAATAGGGGTTTGTTTATGATGATCGTTGACAACAACGTGAGCTTAGTCGTCTTTCCGACTATCGGTCGCCGGCCGGGGTAACTTTTTCAAACATTCTCCACCCATGAGTATACACACAGACACACACAGACATACAAACACATATAATTGACCTTGACCTAACTTGACCTGAAATGACCTCAGCAGCAAAATTCTGGTCGGATACTGTGACAAAGAGGTTCTAGCTGGCTTGGCACCAGAAAACAGCATCGTCATCGGTATTTGATAAGCAGCGCACTTGATATCCAACGGTGACCCAAAACAGCAATATTTTTTAGTTTGACCTGACCTGGAAGGTCAATGACTGACCTGAGAAGGTAAAACTGGGTATCATTGGATTCGTCTCTTCCTAAAGAATCTTTTTGGTCTTTACTGCTAAGCTCTATCTCCAACAGGAACGAAATGGCGCGGGGGGGTGGCAACCACCCCCCCCCCCATGTGCGTTCTAGGATGGGAAAATGGCATGTGCGGGCGAGGGTTAACCCGCGCCGGGCCGGTGCTCTGAGATTCCGCGCCGGGCCGCGGGGGGGGGGGGGTGTTTGAACACCCCCCCCCCTTCTAACTCGGCTCCTGGGCCACGTAGCGACACGCAGTAAGCGGCAATCGAAAGAACGTCAAAAATAAGGACGAAAACACTTCGGTCATTTTTTGGGTCAGGTCAAAGGTCAGGTCACCAGAGGTCACCAAAGGTAAAATGTTGACTATTTCAACATTTTGGAAACTGCCAACGGCTATCTCGGGAACCGACAGAGCTACAGCGCCGCAAAAAAGCGCATTCGATAGCCCTTTTACAGACCTTTCTGAGTAATGTTCTCATATTTGACCTCAGGTCAACGGTTTAGCCTCCAGAGGGCAAAAACTCCAAAAATAGCCGTTTTTACGAAAAACGTTTTTTCGACAATAACTTTTAACTCAAAAGAGCTATGACATTACTTTTGCCAGCATCGTGTTCCTCTCGTCGAGACGCGTCGAATGAACTATAATTTGACCTTGAAAGGTCAACTTGAAAATTTGACCTCAGGTCAAGGTCATGACCTGACCGGAAAAGGTCATGTTGCATATCAGTCGATCCGCAACGTCGACCTGAACACATTTAAGGCGTTTTCAGCGCTCTAGCACGCCTCTATCAGAATTTATCATCGAAAAACTGTTAGATTTTGTTCGTGACCTGAGATGACCTCGGGGACATAACGAGGGGTCACAGTTGCCATTTTCTGGTTCAGTGTGTCTATTTTACCTACATCTCGATGTTTGCGAGTGTCTAGAATAGCGTTCGCGCAAAACAGACGCTTTTCAATTTTCTCCCATTGACTTATAATGGAGAGGCCGCAAAATTGACCTGACCTTAGGTCACCGATATCAAAATTCCGAGATATACATTTTATAGATAGTGTTGCTCTAATCAATCGCTGAAAGTTTCAAGGCAATCGTTCAGTCGGTGTAGCTATGACGAGCATTCTTATTTTTTCTGAGGTGAGGTCACTTGGCGTGACCTGGTGACCTGACCTAAGGTGACCGGGGTCTGAAATTTTCACAACATGTGCGGAAAAGATGCACGAACAGATGTGCCAAAAACGGCGGCGCTCCGCGAGCCGTTTTTGAGATATCTGCGAAAAACCGCAAGGGGGGGGGGGTGTTCAAACACCCCCCCCGGCCCGGCGCGGGTTAACCGACTCCGACTCCGACTCCTTGCTGCTAGCCACGACTCCGGGCGACTCCGACTCCGACTCCGACTCCGACTCCGAAACCCTGGTTAAAATCATACAGTGCTTCAGGTTCGCACGGTCCGCTTGTCCTATATAATTTCGTGCGTATATGCCGGATTCTGTCTCGGGCACCTAATCCAACTACACTTGGACATTCACTGGTATTTCGCTCAGACATCCGGTTCATGTACCCAGACACCTGCAACTCGTCCCTGCTTTGTCTCAGCAACTGTTGTTAGCGTAGTTTCGAGGACGGCGATCGACAATATCAAGATGACCCACATTACATAGACAATGAACACAATGCACATAGAGAAACTGATCGCATGTCATTTCCAGCATCTTTCTGATACAACCGATCAATCATAAATTCACAATGCCTTTTGGACATGCTCCTGTCATGATTCATGTTCGAAGGCGAGCTTACCGAATTCCATACTATTCAGTGAGCAGAGCGAGCCCAGGCCCCAGGAGCCCAGGTGCCTTCGCTGATTCATGACTTTTGTAATACAGCCGACACAGCATATTATGAGACACAAGTTCAACAAAGGATTATAATCCATATGTGCTGGTGTCCATGTCACTCGGCGGTTTTCTTTTATCAGGACGCTGACAAGCGCGTCCGTCTTCCCAGGTGCCGCGAGTTCGCACGCCCCCTAGCCCGAGTCCGAGCCCGATGAAGTTCCTGCTGTCGCCGCCAGAGGCGCGGCTGTCGCAGACTCGGCTCATGTCCAGCCGGGCGGCCCACCAGGCGGCGGCGGCGGCTCGTCGAGACCCGGCGCGGCTCACCTGCTCTCTCCCCAGTCTCCACACTCTATCCGGCAGCCGGGCGGCGCACGGCGCGGTGGAACACTACGTCGAGATGGCGCTGGTGTCCGCCATGACGGCCTCCTCTAACCACGAGCTGCCCGGCCTGGCACCAGAGGAACCAGATGCCAGTGAGCCCCTGCTGCCTCAGCCGGCGCCGCCTAGCATCCCACCACGTGACTCATCCTCTCGTGGCAGGCGCCGGCTGCAGAGGAGACGCTACCCGCGCACACCTCTGCCCCGCGCCGCGCTGGCACCGGCGGCCTCTGCTCCACCCGGGCCATCGCATGGCTCTGTCGACACCGATTACCAGTCTGCCTACGCTCCGAGCCACATCACCGACAGCGACGAACAGACAACGACCAAAGGAGCGTCGGCAGCGGTGGCGCCAAGATCGGCGGCGAGCAAGGTGTCTACTACAAGGAAGGGTGCAAGACCGGGCGGACGGGGCGCGGCAGGACCAACAGGGCCAAAGAGGGAGGGTTCCGAGCTGATCTTGGTGAGCCGGAGAGCTCTGGAGAGGCTGCTCCGTCGACCTCTGACGGCCGCCGAACTGCACACGGGCGGACCGGATCGCAGCGTAGACCAGGGCACGGAACGGAAACGGCACAGGACCGACGACAAAGGCAAGAACTGGGAGCTCAATGGGAAACAGGAACAGGACCGAAACAGGAATCATGAGCTAAACAGGAGCCAGAAGGATAAAAACGGAAATCAGGAGCAGGATGACACTATGCACATTTCTGGACTTCAGCCTCTGGAAGATAGCGCAGTAGCCAATGAGGACAGCATCCCGATTCGTTACGAAACAGCTGGAGTTTTGGCAGACACGGAAGACAATCTCGCTGACTCGGTCGGGACTCTTGGAGAAACTAGAAACACGGGTGACACCATCTCAATAGCTCTGGAGGGTACCGAGACGCTCGCCGACACCACGGAAACACTCAGAGGTACCAGCGAGACACTCGAGAGTGTATTCGAGGGCACGCCGGTGACTCTGGGAGAAACGACGGCAGCTGCGGAGGGGTCGGAGACGGGATGGATACCGGAGCCACCCTCACCAGAGTGGGACCCCAGTACAGAGCCTCGTCACCGGCCGGCGACGCTGCTACTGGCGGTGGCGACTCGTAGTCACAGCGTCGTGTAGTGCTCACAGATCTGTCAGACTCACAGACCAGGCAGAGCTGTCAGTAGCTGTCAAGACTACAGGCACGGTCAGACATTGAGGTGCACGGCCCAGTTGTGAGATGCAATTTGCTACGGTACGGTGACCGTGATTGATGTGTCTCGAAAACAGTGGATGGATACATGTCAGTATTCCCAGATCCCGATGGAAATGCTCTTAGTGATTGAGTACAGTTGGGTTACCAGACAACCTTCAAAAGGAATACTGCTGTGGATTTGAAGTCGGTCATTGTTATATTACACACTCTATGTTGCACAACTGTTTGTAAATATATTTATATTCAGCAATCAGTTCAAATTTTTGACATTTGGCATAACGATGATGACGAAAATCAAACCTTTGTTCAGGGGACCTCAATTCAAACGGTGGTTTGATGGAACACTGGACTTGAGGCTACCTCCGATTCTAGTATAACACTTCGTGCCATCTCGACCCACAGGAAGACAATGTTCCTATCGTAGTATCCCTCTCGAAATCGTAAACGCCCCCGGCCCAGTTTTTAGCTGCATTATTTGGTACAACACAGATTGTTGTTGATCTCAACAAACTGTACAGCTGTCATGGACATACGCAAACACAAGGCAGTCTACTAAAATGTTATAAATGAGTTAACACGCGCAGTGGAAGGGTTGCGAGTACTACGCCCAGTGGAAGGGGGGGGGCGGATGTCGCCCCCCCCCCCTAAGATCTCAGCTCCCACTGGAGCTAGAAAGACGAAATTTGGAGGGTAGGTGGGGGCCATGGGGAACTCTGTTGTGTGTGAATTTCATGACCCTAGGTCAATATCTTCAAGGTCAAATGAGGTCAAATGTGGTCAAATCTGCCATATTAGCGACTTTTTTGCGTTTACGCGCCGATAACTCAAAAAATTACCGGCCGATTTTTTTAAATCTTTCACTTTACGAAAGAACAAACATTTGTGAGTATGTATGGTGAATTTATAGATAATCCAACAATAAATATGGCAGTTAGAAGCCTGCTAAGGGTAAGATGTCGCCGGCTGAAGCGGCATCGGCCGACGCGGGAAACGCGGCAATCACAATTTTGTGTTTACACACTCATAACTCGAGTTGTTACCGGCCGATTTTCAAAATTCTTTGACCATATGATTGCCTGTACATTTCTCAGTCTTCTCACCGAATTTGACGCGAATCAAATATAATCAGCGGTAAGGAGCGCGATGTAAAGACGGAACCGTCCCGCCCCGGCACAGTCTACAATTCAGGCGGCGCGTAACGGCTAGCGCCGGCCGCCGCGCCGCCGCGGCGGCAGGATATTTGACTTTACACTGCTATTACTAGAAAAGTTGTGAACCGATTTTCTTGCTTCTTGCACGAGAAGATCCGCAATTCAATTCTGGACAGGTAGCCGAAATTTCACATTGATATTATGCTTGTGGCGCGAGTTATTGGCGAAAAACAGGAGGGGTGGGCGAAATCCGCCCCCCCCCCTTCCACTGCGCGTGTTAAAATATTGCAGCCATCCTCGGCAAACGCCCACCAAAATCCAGTCAGATAAAGTACTAAGGACCTAAGGGACACAAAACCTGACCCTTCAGCAATCAAATAGTCATGCGCAATAGGTATGGCACAGTTAAAAGTGGCAGTTTGTAGATAAAGCAGCGAGCAGTATCTGCGCCCGAGAAGGGGTACCATATGGGTATGTCACAGGTAAGCTGCTCGATAGAAGACTCTACTCGCTGAAAATCACGCAGACCAGAACTGCAGGTCGCGCTGACGCCACATCGCTCGTCGTACGACAATATTAGCAGCTGGCTCAATGGCCCAGCTGCCCAATAAATACGACTAAAAGTAGCCGACTAATATGGCACGATACCTATAGTCTTGCAAGACAATATTAACAATCCATCAGCCGGTATCTGAACATGGTTTAGCTATGGAGTCGATGGCACTAAAAGTACAACCCTAGCAATAAAACCGTGGATCAGCTAAAGGAAGCAGCCTGCAGTGAATTGTGGCAATAAAACAACGCCACCTTGTAGATTCAATAGCAGCTGCATGTCATATTGACTATCGTAAAGAACTCAAATTACATCAAAACAGCAAACATCAGCTGCACTACAGCGCTTCATCCCTAAAACACACCATAGCTAAAGATCGGGACTGGTACACAAGCAAATCACAACCCCTCTACAATGAACCACCATCCTACCGACCCCTCCCAGCTCCCCCCGGCTCCCCACTACTGATCATTAAGCTCCATTTCCACACCTACCATGGGCACTCGTTCGTCCAGAACCATCGCTCCGGGATCCGTACTGTCCAGTACCCCCGCCGCCGCCTCAGCGAACAGCTGGTCTGCCAGGGACGGCGCGCCGGCCGGGGGCGAGTCGGGTCGCGCCGCCAGCAGCTGTCCGCCGGCGTCGGCGTCCTCGCGGCCGGCCGCCGAGGTCAGAGTGACGTTGTCGAGCAGACGGCAGCCGCTCGTGGTGTCGTCATCTTCCAGGAAGGCGTCGTGACGCGCCAGGCCGGGAGGGAGCGATAGGTCGAAACCAGACGAGCTGTGCTGGTCGGTCGTGTCTGTCGATTGACTGTGGAAGGACAGGGCTGGTTAGTTATTTAAAATTGACTTTAATACCAATTTAGCATGCCTAAATCTCGTCTATGGGATAATCAGTGCTCATATATGTTCAATACCTATCTGATTTTTACCTATAAAAACACAACTCAACCAACAACTTCAGGACTGACTGCAGTCACATACACGTAAATACTGGAATAGTCAGAAGGTGAGTGCTATAGGCAATGACAATTTCTCGCCTGGACAGGCCATTTTATCCCAGAACCACACCCTCTCCACCCTTATCCCTGACCTGTCCTACACGTTTTCCCTCTAGCTACTGATCTATCCATCTCCAACTCCACCCCATCAGCATCTCCTCCTAGCTACTGACCTGTCCGTCTCCAGCTCAGCACTGTCCGCGTCTCCATCCGTCGGGGACCTCACAGGATCGTCCTCAATCTCACTGTCCTCCCCCGCCGGAGGACCGTCCTCCGTCCTCGTCTCCCCGGCGGGGGCCGGGGCGGGGGCGGGGGCGGGGGCCGCGAGCGCCAGGAGCAGGGTGGCAGAGTGCCGCCGGTGCCGCCGCCGCCGGTGGCTCTGCAGGTTCTGACGCGTGAGGAAGCGCAGCGGACACTCGGGGCACGGGTGAGGTCGCTGATCGGGCGCCGCGTGAGTTTTCTTGTGACGAGCCAGACCGGAGAGGAATGAGGCCGAGTAGCTGCACTGGTCGCAACGGTACGGCTTTATGCCTGTCGGGAGAGAGGTGGCAGGTCAGTGAAGGTACGGTCTGCTCAACACAGTCAACAGCACCAGGAACTACTTGATGAATTGTAAAATAGCATTGATAAATAAAAACAGATGAAATAAAAGCGAGGCATTTGCAAATAAAAACTAAATGATCAAAATGTGATGGCTCAACATAGGCGAGCTGGTTCCACATTTCCACAAACTATGAGGCAATGCATCACTCATTTTCGTTATCCGAAGTAGGCAATACGACTACCTAGTTGAAAACGATGGCTTTGTCACCTCTTATTATTCACTAATACGCAAGTCCAAATTCCTATGCACTGACCCAGCTGAGCGTTTTCAGAAGAGCCAAATGTATGATAGCCCAAACACCAGCCGTCAGTCTGCGGACCTATCTCACCAGCCGCCTCTACTAACCCTTGTGCAGGACGGCGTGCACTCTCAGCTGCTTCCTGTGCTTGAAGCGGCGTCCGCACACGTCACACAGGTGGTCGTAGGTGGTCGAGTGCGAGCTCATGTGGTCAGCCAGGTGGGAGACGATGAGGTACGACTTGTCACACTGCTGGCAGCGGAACCGGCCGCCCTCTGACGGAGCAGCGGAGTGACGTTAAAGTTAGACCCATGGTCGACAGTGTAACGTTACAGTTAGGACCACAGTCGAGACAGGATAGGGGCCAAGCGCGTCTGGGGCCGTGGTAAAACTGTGGGTGTCAGTTTGACATACCGTAACGTATTACGACCTTACACAGTGGATATTCAAGACATCCACCTACATCGTCACCAGATGCTACCAGGGGACATCGGATGCAAGAAAGAAACAATGTGATAAAAATGAATAAACTGGACAGTATGAGTTTGTATCATCTGGCGAATTAAAAAAGTGCATTCACCAGTCGCAGCTCTCAAGTTCAGCTCCTTTGGAAAGTGAGGAAAAAGGAGGGAGGGGAGGGGAGATTTCTCACCTCCTGAGTGAGCCAGCACGTGCTGATTCAGGTAGTGTTTGGAGGCGAAGCTGCGGCCACACAGCGGGCACGGGAAGGCTCCCATCGTGGCCCGACCGTCAGCTGCCTACCTGGAAATCGGCATACAAAGAGGTGAGGCAAACTAGAACAATTGTGATCCTAAAATGAAGGAAACATAAGAGCTCGTATAAAATGTAAGAAGTGTTCGGGAATTGCTAAGTAGAAAGGTAATTATCGATTGGTCTTACTCGACATAATGTAGTTAGCGCACGCATAATCACACCGACCGACCAAATCATCAAGTTACGTTGACGCATGAGTGAGCTGCGCTAGTTCAGCGGCCGGTAGCCTCCGGTCTGCAGGACAGATGACACCCGGGACTGTCTGACGTCCACCTTGCCGCTAGCGTCTGCAAAATTTGAAACTCGCTTCTACTGACCAAGTCTGTCCAAACTATTGAACGATGCATCGTAACACATATGATTTATTCTAAGTAAGCAGCACATTTAATGCCATGCTAAATTTCTAAATATTGCGTCTCATTGCGGTACATTGTCCGAGCTGTAATTGTACGGCCGTTGAAGCTGTTTACCACATGGTTCGCCCGTCCCACCGAACGCTTCCTGTCGGTTTCATCCGGTCCACGCACAAAAAAGGCTATCGACCCTGCCCTAGTTGATATCCCTATCTGGGACTGAATCACACCCATCCTTCCTGTCGCAATAATAAGCACGAGGGCAGGAAGTAAGAGCACACGTTTGATCGGTAGCCATTGTTACCAACGGAAAAATAGGCGGTTGCGGTTATTTGGAGGCGTGTGAGTTACCTACAACTTTCGACAACCACGCAAAAAATGGCGTGAATACAAGGAGTCTGGCTGATAATATAATAACCCACATCCAGAGATTTATCTGGCGGCAAAACTGGCTTTAAAAAATAGGTGAAATAATTTCGTCACAATCACAGAGAGCTTTGGTTGAAGTCGCAAAAGGTGAGTGATACCTTACCTACAGACTACAGTGTTTTCTGAAAGTCCCCACAAGACGGCTATCAACGCCAAATACAATTTCCTATTCTGAACACTGAACAGAACGTGACTATACATGATAGGTACAGGGCTCGCGGGTTTTAGCGGTAGGTTTTGCACCTAGAAAATTTAGTGTACTTCAGGCTATATCTTCGTCGTCTTAAGCTTTTAAGTGTTGAAGATGCGATCGACTTGTTGGGTAACAAGCCGGCCATGATCGTGTAAAATGGCTTCATCGTAGATCGATTAGTTTCTGAGATATAACCGGAAATGTAAAAGTGCAAAACCTACCGCTTAATCTCGCGAGACCTGTACATACATCAATCCCATTCCCACACCATTGTATTTGTAAAAAGGGAGATTGATACAACACGATACATCACGTACAATACACGTGGCGCAATACACATTGCGATGCATAGTGCATACCCGATAACAACCTACTTCAGCATGCAAAGTTTGCATGCTGAAGTCGGGCATGCACACTGTTGGTTGGACCTGATCAGCCAGATAAGTTGCGGCTCTGTACTGGCCCAGCACTATTAGCAGGCAAGTACCGTAAATAAATGAGAACATAAATTATGAAGGCTACAACTTTTGGTCTCGCATATTTTTTGCTGTATTATTTCCATTATATTTTACCATTAAATAATTGTTCAAAAGCAATAAAGACTTTGAAAATATTTGATCCAAAAAAGTACCTGACTTCCTTATAGTTCTGTGACGTGTTGTGTATGCGCCGAGATTGTCGAAGGCGGAGCCGGCCTCTGGCCTCTGTAGCGCGTTGATAGCGCTCGTAGAGCTCGTTCACTTTGTTGCCGGTGTTCAGCGGTAGTGGAGGTAGAACTTATTCAAGTATTTTGCTACACAAAAGTGCACATTAGAATAATCACGATGAAGATAGTTTTGTTATCACTTATCTGTATTTACGTACGCTGTTTCGCCGAAGAAGCTGAGGTCTCGACAAAGCAATACGTCTCGACTGACTTTGAAAGCAAAGTGAAGGAAAACAATCATTTTGTTAAGTTTTTTGCCCCTTGGTGTGGCCACTGCAAACGACTGGAACCTACGTGGGAGGAGCTGAGCAAGAAGTACAACACTGATGACTCAGAAGTCACCATAGCAAGGGTAGATTGCACCACTGACTCCTCGGTTTGCTCAGATAATGAAGTCACAGGATATCCCACACTAAAATTCTTCAGCAAGGATGGTGGTGAACCTGTGAAGTACAAGGGTGCTAGAGATCTGCCATCTCTGGAAAAGTTCATCAAAGAACAACTGGGTCAGGAGTCTGACGAGGATGAGGACGAGGAATCCGCTGAGGTGCCAGAGCCTGTGAAAGGTCTGACTGAGCTAACTGGGAAGACATTCAAGAAGGCCACTGAGAGCGGCAGCTACTTCGTCAAGTTCTACGCTCCTTGGTGTGGTCATTGCCAGAAACTTGCCCCCACTTGGGAGAAACTGGCTGAATCTCTTGCTGATGACAAGTCTGTCAACATTGCAAAGATTGATTGTACCACCAACAGGGATACTTGCTCTGAGTATGAGGTCAAGGGATACCCCACACTTCTTTGGATCCAGGATGGAAAGAAAGTCGCAAAGTATCAGGGGGATCGCTCTTCAGATGACCTGAAGAAGTTCATCGCCAAGATGACTGGTGCTGGTTCTGAAGAAGAGCCAAAAACTGAGGAGAAGGAAACTGAAGAGAAAGGAAAGGCCCCAGTGGTAGTTCTGACGGCTGATACCTTTGAGAACAGCATCAGCCGTGATTACACCTTCATCAAGTTCTATGCTCCATGGTGTGGCCACTGCAAGCGCCTTGCACCTACATGGGATCAGCTGGCAGTGAAGATGGTGTCCAACCCCTCAATCAAGGTTGCCAAGGTTGACTGCACTGAGAACGACAACAGGCCTCTCTGCTCCAAAGAGGGTGTTTCAGGATTCCCGACAATCTTCCTGTACCATGATGGAGACAAAGTCACAGAGTATGAGGGAAACAGATCACTGGATGACATGGCCAATTTCCTCAAGTCCAACATGAAGCCTGCTGCCAAAGATGAGCTCTAGACTGTGCCAATTTCATTCCACAGTTTTCAAAACCAGATCTGTCATTGAAGGTCATAAGTGTTGAACTCAATGGTTGACTGGCTTCATTAGACTGCTGGTCAATGGTCAGTCAAAACTGTGCCTGCTCTGCTACAGCAATATATGATGAAATGTGAACATCATGCTACGGAAAAATACTTGAGCTTACCTACCTTGCTTATTGCTGCTTCAAATAATTTCCCAATGTTATGTTATGGTCTTGGGGGCTGGGGCACATCTAGGTACTCTTGCATAGAAGTGATTATGATCATGAGCATTGGCAGAATAGTTTGATCAACTTGAGATTGTGACTGTGCTGTGGGCCACTGAGGGCCAAATGCTAGCAGTTCCATGCACAATTATGCCCATGCTGAAAAAGGTGTAATTCAGATTTCAGAGTTGGGCGCCTGTCAGGCTGTGTCATAGTGTGACAACTCATTTGGCATACTCAATATTTGGTCAGCAACTTCACCATGCACTGAAGACAGTTTGTCATGTCATTCATATTTGGTGTTAAATACATGTTCCATGATTCACTTTTTCATCTGAATGGTGTGTGGTGGACATCCTTGGCATTGAACAGCAGAAGATGAGAATGGAAAATTTATAATGGGAAGAATGGTACGTTTCAGGTAGAAGCCCTCATATATTGGAAACACTTAACAATATTATCTTGGACATGCATTTTTTGTTGTCACATTTAGGAACCTATCAATTTATTGAACTTCCTTTCCTTGGACAAGTGAATTAAAAGTGCACACTGTTTGAGGTTTACCTTAAAGTACTTATCACAATTACACCAATTGTTTGTTTTAAAGATTCATTCGGGTTCATTTGTTCATTTGAGTGACAGATTTAAGTGATTTGGGTGATTGCAGATAATGTTAAATAAGTACCTAAGTAATAAGTAAATAGGAAAAGAGACAGAAAACAATGTTCAGAGCTTTATACTCATGTCAAATACAGTACCTTCTTTTCATTATTTATGAGGGCCAGCCAATAAATGCATCTTATGACTGGTTTCACTGCATTGAAACGGCAAATCTTGTGTTCCTATCATTTTAGTGACCTTTGATAATGGAAAGGTCACCCTCCCACAACATCTAATTTCGATGTAAAATGAATCAATATGAGCTGAAGATGAAGTAGAATTAGAATGAAAATAAACTCCTAAATAACAAGTTATAGAAATGTGTCAGCCAGAAGTGTCTGAAAATAACTAGATTGTCATTGTCACCTACAGGCCAGTTTATGTAGCCTTGTACAGCCCTTGAGCAAACTACCAAATGCAAGCAAATTAAAGCAAGGAACTTGCATTGTAACAATTTACACTCTGATGCATAACATTTGATCCCAACCTTTTTTTGTCAAATTTCACTTTAAAACTTTCTAGCTGATTTTGGTAAGTTTTGCTTGCATTTGCATTCTTACATACTTCATCATTTGAAAAACACTTGTAGCCAAAAACTTACATTGAATAATACTTATATGCTTAATGGAGGTACTCCTTAACCCTATTCCTGGCGGGGGGGGGGCCTCAGGAGCCCCCCCCCCCCCTGAGGTTTTTTGGTTATTTCTCCCAAACGCGTTGAGCTAGGAGGCTCAAATTTTCTGACTTTTCCTAAAAGGCTTCTACGCAACATGTCTGAAAATTTTGAGTTGATCTGACCTCAGGTCAGGTCACCAGAGGCGGTTTGGTGACCCTACCTCAGAAAAGTTTGCAATCACGCCAGAGCTAGAGTTTTTGACCGATAAATTTCTTCTCTTCAGGCTTTAGTTAGGGTACCAGTATGTGCAATTTGTATATCTCGGAATTTTGATATCGGTGACCTAAGGTCAGGTCAGTTTCGCGACCTCCCCATTATATAAGTCAATGGGGGAAAAATCAACTCCCTGTTTTTACCACTAAAACGGGTCGGAATGGCCCCATATACCATACATGACTTCATATACGATCAACCTTCACTACCTTGAGGTCTGTTTTGCTGTTGGGCAGCTGTGAGGTCATGTGACGTCATCAAAGGTCACCAAAGGTTTTTGGCCAATAACTCCGTACAGGAACAAGATACAGACGCGTGGATGGTCTCATTGTGTTCAGCTCGTCAAGACGCATCGAATGATATACATGATGACCTCGAGGTCACGTGACCTGAGGTCAACCTTTGACCTTGACCTTGCGAGGTCAACATATATATCATTCGATGCGGATTGACGAGAGGATCACGATGATGCCCTTAGTTTGTTCCTATCTTGACTAATTCGAAAGTTATTCGAGAAAAACTCCATATCTAGCGCCGCCATTTTGACTTTTTCGACCCCTGTGACGTCATCTTTGACCTGACCTGAAAATGACCTTAGTAAAAATTGTAGATCTTGACCGTGCGTATCCGATGCCGTTTACCGTTTGTCGCTATCTTGCTTCGTTCTCGAGATCTCAGGGGGGCCGAATCGCCCCCCCCCCCGCCAGTTTCTTGTCCCGGCGGAGCCCGCCAGGAATAGGGTTAAGGGAAAGAAGTCAATGCATTTGATTAAAATACCATTTGTTATTCATTTAAAGACAGCTCCAAAACTGTCAGACTTCACCTTTATCAAAAGTAAAAAGGCCCAGAGGGCATTGAGATTGAAATTTGAAGCAGTTTCAAATATGTGCATATTGTTAATGAAGGTGAGGTGTATAATATGCATATATGAGACCCAATAAGTGGGAAAAGGGGCTAGTCATGTCAGTGGTCAATCAAAATAGATCAAAATATGTATTAAACATTTTTATCAATGTCCAACTGGAAGCAATGCAATTTGGATTAAGCACCATAACCAGTGGATCAAGTGATAACCAGGACTCTCATGCTGCTCCAAGCAGCCAGGTAGTGGCAACTGGCAATACTGTGTGCATTGGCCAGGTATTGAACCTGGATGGCTGAATCGGGACTTGGAGTGGCCATTTGGGATAGGCCAAGGCCCTAAAACATAGGAGAGGCGGGAGAGGTGCTCTCGGAGCTCATAGAAGCATTTCACATCACTGAATTATCCAAAAGTAAATAGAAGAAACTAAAAAGTAATTTGCCTATGAACCCTAATAATTTACAAGCTACATGATTTCAAATAATATTAGTAAAGTTTCCCAATTTGTGCTGTGATCTCCAAATACAAGCCCTCAGGTCCTTCATCAGAACCTCCATCTGATCACTTCATCACAACCTTCTGACGCGACAGTGACACGGCTACAACTTCCCCTGCATGGCCACCAAATCTGGAGGCAATGAACTTACTGCATACCCCTAGCATGGATAAGAGATACCTCTATCTGTAAGAGTTATGATAAATGATAACAATAACTAGTCACATGTATATTTAGACACACAAAGCTTTCGGTACGAAAATACCTTGATCACTGTGACTGTGTTACAGAAATGAGGACAGAAAATGATCACCGTCCTCATTTCTGTAACACAGTCACAGTGATCAAGGTATTTTCGTACCGAAAGCTTTGTGTGTCTAAATATACATTTGACTTGTTATTGTTATCATTTATCCTACCTGTCGTGGATAATTTACATATATAAGAGTTATCTCTAATGACTAATCCATGCCCCTAGACCAGAATGCTCCCCACCCAACTGGTTGTGGCAGGGTCTCAGTCTGACAAGATTCATACACAGGGTTACAAAATGAGCTTTACAGCAATAAAGGTGACAATTTGAATTCAAATTGACAGAGTTCAATTGTTGAATTGAGTTTGGTTGGGCCAACAGCATATTCTCTTTTTGCAGTAACCAATTGTTAAATGCCCTAGATACTCTTCCGATACCCACCTCTAAAAAAATAAAATTTGCAATATCTAACTATGCTGATACCCCTCTTGCCTTTGCTCTTGCATTTCTGTCCTGCTTATTGAGAATCATTGGAAGAAAATGGCATGACAGCAAAACCGTCGTTAGAAACCCTATTTTCTTCAATGTACTACCGTCCAGTTTCATTGCCATTATATATAGTAAAACAGTTTAATTGATAAATGTAACATATCTTGATCTATATTGGCAGGGATAAAATACTTTTGTTTCACATATGTCAAAAGAGCGTCAGATCTGTCACAGATCAAGAGCTTAAAAACATTAGATGGTGTGAGCGCCTCAAGCGTTCCATGAAGAAATTAGTAGTTGCTAGGTGGCAGCACAATACAGTAGAGTTACGCGCACCGGTAGCATCCGATGAATATCGATGTCCAGTATTATAGCTCCCTCTCAACTCGTGACGGAGTAGGAGCTAGCAGGTAGTAGGTACACACCATAATCGAGCCTTGGCTTACTCGAAAAGCCTCTGTCAAGCCTTCGGGGCCCTCTCGGTTGCTGAAAACTCTTAACGACCAGCATATGGAACGGGCGGCGACCCCGCCTACTTCGATAGGTAGTTCAGGCCAGAGTAGGATAGATCACCGTTCAGGCCCTATCAGTAAAGTAATCTTGGCTTAGGTGGCACTGCCTCGCGCTAGCTCAAGGGCTTTTTGCTAGCTCATATAGCTTATGCCTGCCTGGCGCCCACAGGGCTATGTCACGCACTTGGAGGCCCTCTGGCTGCTGTTCAGCGCCTGAAGCGTCCCTTGGCAGATCTCGGGCCCCTTACGCACTGACTAAGGGTCGTTCGGTGGCTTCGGTGGCCTACGCAATGATATGAGGGCTCATATAGGTACGTGTGCCTACCCTAGACGCACTTTGGTGGTAATTCGGTGGTCTGGAAGATCAATCCTTGCAAGCTGCATACGCTCGGAGGGTGCTCAGGGGGCAGTCTCGTTGGCACATAAATCGGAGGGCCCCTTAACCCGCGCCCCGCTGGGCTATTCAGCCATACGCGCCCTGCTGGGGGGGGGGGGCAGATTCTGCCCCCCCTGTCTAACTTCCGAACCGATGGTCGTAGAAAGACGGGGAAAACGGCAATCGAAAGCTCTCAACAAGGCGGATCTAAAGAGCCCAAATTTTTTTTGCTTAAGTAGGTCAGAGGTCAGGTCAAGGTCAGGTCAAGGGTACAAAATGCAAGTTTCTACAGTATCGGCCTTGCACCGTAGTTGCCGAAGAATGGACTGAGACTGATTGCCCAAAACGTGTTCTTAGACTACCAAGACAATATTCGTTGCATGCAATGTCATTCAAAGGTCAAGGTCAAGGTCAGGTCAGGTCAGGTCAGGTCACCAAAAACAAAATATAGAAAAGGGCATGTGCGACACATGTTTTATGGGTCATTTTACTCATAGAATTCAATAGGCACACTCAATAAGTGATATGGACCACCTCTGGATGAATTTCAGGTCGAGGTCAGGTCAAGGTCAGGTCAAGTGAGGTCAAATTTTGAAGTTGGTTGTTAAGGCCTAAAAAGGTGTCTATCCGATGCAGTTTTTCACGGCGAATCGGATGGTGCTATTTTTGTTTCCGTACGAGGTCTAGAACTTCCAAAAAATCATTTTTCAAAATTTGTGTGTGTCGTGACGTCATAAAATTTTGAATAACTCCCACATTTTTGAACCGATTCTTCTAAAAATTGGTATGTAGGTGCACATAGACTACTTCTCTGACATATATTCCGTTTTTTTCGATATACCCAAAATTTTGGATTTTATCATTATTTTCCCAAAAAAATCAGTTTTTTGAAAAAAATTGGGCCAAAATCCTAAATTTTCAAAAAACCGAGATAGCCATTTGATAGACAAAGTAAAATCACGTATAACCTTTTTTGTTACGTCTTGATTCCTTTAAAAATGAAGATGTTAGCGGCGTTTGAAATTTTGCCGTTTTTGAGGCGAAAATGGCGAACATGACGTCACAAAAACGTCAATTTCTCAAAAATTTTCCGACGGATTTCGCTCAAATTTTCAGGGAACGTGTCAAATTGATGTATGATAAGGTACTGAAAGTTTGACGTCGCTGGCGTAACGCGTTTAGAAGTTATTGGCGAAAAACGGGAGGGGGGGGCAGATTCTGCCCCCCCAGCGGGGCGCGGGTTAATTGCTCATATAAAAACATTAGTCGATGGGGGGAATAGGCGGCGGAACGGGGAGGGCACCGGGGCACCGTGCCCTCTTTGATTTTGCCATTTTAACCCTCGCCCCGTTGGGGGGCCATTGGGGGGGGCATTTTGCCCCCCCCCCTGTGGTTTTTCCTGAATAGCAAGAAAACGGCGGCGCGCAGCGCCGCCAAATTTTCAGTACCTTCCCGGGCATCAATTTAACACCTTCACACCAAATTTCAAGTCTTAGGTCACCTTAGGTCAGGAGTTATTGAGGTCAAACTGAGGTCATGTTCGAGCAAAAATGAGCAAAAAACATGCAATCTTGAAACGCTCACCAAATCTACAGTTATCAAGCAATTTCAAAGTTCTTTATATGGTCTAGTAGACAAAAAGCGGCGCAACAAAACTGTTTTCTCGGATTTTCGAAATTTTTGGTTTTTGACCCCAAAAAATTCAAAAAATTGATTTTTTAAGCCCTAAAAAATTCCAACATTTTTCCGAAATTCGATAAAACCGGAATATATGTGATAGTCCCTGCGCTCTTCTATCATCATCATCATCATCATCACATTTATTTGCATCACACACACAATGTGAGGTGACAAGGTGAGGTGACAGTTATAACAAGTAGCAGTATATATACATTGGGCCAGGTAGGTACATACATTAAGGCCTGCAGAACAATGCTAGGCCACGCAAGGACATTCACAAGAGCCAATCATTGGGCATTCTAAAACCATCGATAGTACCTATACTTTAGTTCAAGTTGTGTGCCTGGTGCTTTCATATACATACCAAATTTTAGATCGATATCTCGTTTTTTGGCCAAGTTATAGCGAAAAAACTGTTCAAAAATTATGACGTCAAATTTTTGAACTCAATTTTTATCGATTCTAGACCACGTACGGCAAAACAAAGACCAGCATTGAACTCCCCGTGACAAGGTGCATCGATTCGATACCCATTTTATGCAAAAATATTAACTTTGAAATTTGACCTAATTTGACCTGACCTTGACCTGACCTTGACCTGACCTTGACCAAAATGTGACCTAAGCTGGCCCCAAAGGCTGCCTGACCCACATAATCGCATTTGTCATGTAAAATGTACCATAAAACATGTATCACACGACACTTTCAAATTGTGACCCCCCGTGACCTGACCTGTGTGACCTGACCTGGTATCAGTGACCTCAAATAGCAAAATATGTGTTTGAAGAACATTTCCCCATCGATGATTTTCAATGAAATGCATTTTACTCGATTTTACAACGCATTTCTTGAAATGCCTGTAAACGGTGAAAATTGGACCTTTGACCTGACCTGTGACGTCATCGGTTTGATCTAGGTCAATAAAATTGGGTCACAAGGTAGTTCCCTGATAGGGCTATCCAACACCGTTTGCCGCTTGTCGCTAGGTTGCGTGGTTCTCGAGATCTTAGGGGGGCCAAAATGGCCCCCCCAACGGGGCGCGTTGCTCGGCAGAGCCCAACGGGGCGCGGGTTAACATTAGCCCTATGGGGGTTGCATGGAAAGTGTAGCGGTCTTTGTACTCCCACATGCTTCTGTACGTTGAACGCTTTATTGTACACAAAAAATGAAAGACGTAAAGGGAAGGATGCATTGAAAGGCAAACAAAGGAAAAGATAGAAACAGAAGGAATGGCACAAAACACAGCCTTGCGCGCATGCAGCAAAGTGGGGTTTCTGCAAGCAGAGACAGCACATAACACAGTCAATGACACAGAAGTTAATGAGCGATGACCATTGACAGACAAAGAAAAAATGAAGATGGCAACAACCAATGATAAGCAAACATATCAAAAAGCAGATCATATGCAAAGTAAAGCGTTACCGAAGTTTCCGCTCCCAGTTCATGCCAGTCTCAGCATAGCAGTCTCCGCATGCCATCTCATCATGCCAGCTTGTCAGTTCAGGCACACACAGTTAATATTTATACATGTCTGTCAGTGCAAGACCTGAGAAAAGAGAAACCTCAGTAAGACTCGGTGGTCGCAACACTCCCCCCAGTGCTTATCCTAGGCCTGAGGAGAACACTAACTGGAGCGACCATCGTTGATTATTCAGCGTTCAGCTCAATGACCGCCGAAAACTTACGCTAGACACATCAACTCAAAATACGCACGAACGCACGCGTCAAGCACCGCACATTTTAGAGAAAAGCAGATATCGCACAGCAGCTTTAGCATCCAGCACTCAGCCTCCATGCACTGTCACCTGCCCGTTCTCCGGCCAGTCACTCAGATATCGTACAGACGCACCGCGCCGGCGAACCGTAACACCGAAACCGTGCGCAAACTACAGAGTCCATCATCCGCTACAACTCTCCACTCAGCGTTCGTCCGAGCAGCTCACGCAGTCGTCCGCGCCAGGCAGACGCCGTCTCTCCCCAGCCTCGCATCCTCCGCTCAGCGGCCAGAGCTCAGGAGACCCCGTCGATGGCGGGCCAGGTCTCGGAACCAGTCCCGAGCACACAGCCGATCACAGGTCCAGCGCAGCACGCCGCCACCCCTCAGCTCCAGGACGCGGCCATGCAGTACGTCAGCAGCCCGAGGCTTCTCCAGGTCGAGCATCGAGCAGTACGCTGGGCGCATCGTGTAAGTGCCAATGGATGAGGTACTGTTTAACCCTATTCCTGGCGGGGGGGGGGCCTCAGGAGCCCCCCCTGAGGTTTTTTGGTTATTTCTCCCAAACGCGTTGAGCTAGGAAGCTCAAATTTTCTGACTTTCCTAAAAGGCTTCTACGCAACATGTCTGAAAATTTTGAGTTGATCTGACCTCAGGTCAGGTCACCAGAGGCGGTTTGGTGACCCTACCTCAGAAAAGTTTGCAATCACGCCAGAGCTAGAGTTTTTGACCGATCAATTTCTTCTCTTCAGGCTTTAGTTAGGGTACCAGTATGTGCAATTTGTATATCTCGGAATTTTGATATCGGTGACCTAAGGTCAGGTCAGTTTCGCGACCTCCCCATTATATAAGTCAATGGGGGAAAAATCAACTCCCTGTTTTTACCACTAAAACGGGTCGGAATGGCCCCATATACCATACATGACTTCATATACGATCAACCTTCACTACCTTGAGGTCTGTTT